CTTAAAATGGTTAGAATGTTCAGCTTTGTTATATGTATTGCCATGATTTTTTTAAAACATTAAAACATAGTCAGAAAAAAGAAAAGAAAGAAAAAAAAACCAGTTGGAAGAGATACCCACAGAGTTTGGGCCACCTCCAGGCAAAGGAGCTGGGCGATGTCCCCTCACCATTCACTCCCGGCCGGGGCAGGTCCCAGGTCCCTGCGAAGCGTGTGGCGTGGGGCACGCACAGTGTCCACCGGGGCCGGGCCAGCACGCGCCATGGCAGATGCTCCTCCTGGCTGGAAGTGCTTCTGCGCCCAGGAGCTTGCTCCGTCTCCTGACACCTCTCCCGCCAATGCCCACAGTTTCTGAGGACACTGGTTTGGGGAGGGGTCTGCACTTCCAATCACAGTCCTCAGTGAAAACGTGACAAGTACCTGAGAATGAGTGTGAAGAGACTCCCCAGCACGGAGGACTGTCCCGTGTGGCTGGGACAGAAATCGGGCAGAGACAGACAGATGCCCACTAGAGAGGAGACCCGCGTCCGGAAAGCGGATGGAAGGGGCTCAGCTCCCTGTGTCTTCAGGGAACACAGAGCAGAGCCCGTGAGAGCGTGAGAGGCGCACTCCAGGGATGCAAAATCGAAAGAGAGAACAGCACGTGGGGGGCAGGCTCCGGCCTGGACTTCCACTGCACGGCCCCCACGGGAGTTCAACACAGGCACACCCGTGACCCAGGCCAACAGCAAGTTCCCCACGGAAACGCACGCATGTGCTCACATGCACGAGACGCTTCATGGCGGCACTACCTGTAACGCTGGAAAACAGCAGCCCCCTATGCAGAGCGAAGCACTGGGCAGCAGACGGGCCTCACAAACACAGGCTGATTAGGTGCCAACACGCGTGCACATACTTACACGGGGGTCAGTCGGACAGAAGTAACCTGTCTTCAGAAGTCGGGTGGCGGTTGCATTCGGGGAGGGGGTGAGTGGCAGGGCGTTTGGGATGCTGACCATGTTTTGACCAGGTGAACTGGCGAGCGATACACTGATGGCGCGTGTGAGGCGTGGTGTGCGCATGCACTGCCTCTCAGCCACACCGCACCTGCCTGCCCTCCCCCCTACATGCTATCTCAGAAAGGGTCACAGGTTACAGGAAAGCCAAGGGTCCCTGGGGAACCTGGAGCATTCTAGAAGGGACCACTCTGTGTTCATAGCGACTCAAGAGCAACTGCTTTCTATGCCCAGGTCTTACCAGGGGTCAACCAGACGACGGGGCCTTTGACCCCACCCCTTCACGCTTTTACTCATGTGTCCAACACCACCAGACGCCCAATTCCTGTCTGCACTCAGCTCTCGATCTTCCTTCCGCTCTGAGCAGACCTCAGCTTAGGTGATAGAAGAGCATTTAAGGATCTAGAAAGACGGCCACAAAATAGGGTGGAAAAATCAAGTGACAGATAGTAGGTGCAGTATCATCTCATCTTTTTAAAATATATTTTTTATTGACTTCAGAGAGGAAGGAAAAGGACAGATAGAAACATCAATGATGAGAGAGAATCATCGATCAGCTGCCTCCCGCACACCCCCTATTGGGGCCTGAACCAGCAACCCAGGCAGGTGCCCTGACCGGGAATCCAACCATGACCTCCTGGTTCATAGGGGACGCTCAACCACTGAGCCACACTGGCTGGGCAGTATCATCTTGCTTTTTTATAAAATATATAATTTGTACTTATAGGAAAAGGGTCTGGAAGGATCACATTGAGCACAGAAAACTCATAGCGGGGATTTTTACTTCCTAAAATCCCTACAATGGATGCATTTTATTTTCTAATACTGAGTCAAGTGCCCAGGGCCCCAGCCTCAAGGACGGGTCAGGAGGGGAGGGACAAGCACATCAGGTCACAGGAAGGGACGAGAGCCTGAACAAGGCGTGCACTGCACTCGGGAGACCAGAGAGGCATCTGTGTGCTTGGGGTCACTGGCCTGCACGCGCCCAGCTCTCAGCCAGTGTCCACTGAATGGACACCCAGAGGAAGGGTGCCTGGGCAGTGAGGCTGGCCCGCATGCTGTGTACAGAGTCCCGGCTGTGGGGTGAACGTACTTTGTGGTGAGGGCGCAAGGCCCTCGATTCCGGGACCGCGCTGTTTGCATTCGCTCAGCCTTTGGCTGTCGGGGTGGTTCCAGAGGAGTCGCTTGGGCCCTGGGGCCTCAGCCTCCTGCCTGTGGCAGTGAGGACTGTTGTACCAGCTTACAGGGAGCTCACAAAAACACTGCACACTGAAAGCCCACGATACAGTCCGGAATCATGGATCAAGACGTGCATAGAGCCTACAATGTGCCAAGTTCTGTGTTAAGCAGTTTACAAATATTAAATCACTCTTTAAAAGCTGTTATTTATTGATGTTTGAGAGAGAGGAAGAGAGGGGGAGTGAGGGAGAGGAACATCAATTTGTTGTTCCACTTATCTATGCATTCATTGGTTGACTCTTGTACATGCCCTGACCAGGTATAGAACCCACAACCTTGGCATCCTGGGACGACACTCTTACCAACTCAGCTACCGGCCAAGGCTTAAATCATTCTTCATACCCTAAGATATTTGCCTTTATTATCTTGGTTTTACAAGATGGGGAAACTGAGGCACGCAGTTCAGTGTCTTGCCCACGTGTTCATTTCTAGCCAGAAGCCCCTGCCCCTGTCTCGCCAAGCGGTGAGAAGCATGAGGAGGCAGCCTGTCCCTGCCCTGTACTGTACATGAGCTCCGTCCCTGGGCAGCTCCATCCACACTGAGGCTGGCTCTCCCAGGCTGTGCCCAGCATGCTTCTCTTCTGCCATCTGGTGGTAACTGAGGAACATGACATCTCCCTCCAGGCTCCCCTCCCACCCAGGGGCCCGTGGGGAGCTGGGGGCTGGGGGGTTATGGTGAAAGCAAACAAAAACCACCTCACTTGTTCTGATTACTCAGGCAGTGTGCCAAGTACACTGGCATTTTAACAATGGGCCACTGACAGTTATTCAAAACCCTTCATTGAACATGTACTGGGGGGCATTTCCACCACCACCACCCCCCTCGCAATCCTTACCCAGCTTCCACCCTGGAGCCAGACGCTGCCCTGAGCTGACTGCCAGGCCGTAAGCCCACGGAAGAGGACACAGCATGTGCCTGTGCTCCAGAACCTCAGAGTGCAGACACGGATGGCCACAGAGCAGCCGGCACAATGACAAGACCCGGAGTGGGCAAGTGTGGGAGAGTGACAAGAGCCAAGTCCCAGGGGAGGGCAGGGGAGGGGAGGGCAGCCACTGGCAGAGGAGGGGCACCCCGCCCAGAGGCAGGCAGAAAGGGAGTTGCACGGGTGAGCACCTTGGTGGTGGAAAGATGCTGTCTCCGCGGAGGCCAGGTAACCATCTCAGGTGTGTGGGCTGTAGGAAGGGCACAGCGTGGACCAGGGGACACCTGGCAGAGGCTTCCAGGTGGCCACGTGGCTGTGTTCTTTTATTCAAGAAAGCCCCGCGTTCACTCAGCCTCTTCAATCTGTGGGCTTTTCTCTTTCAACAGATGTGGGGTTTTCAGCCATCATTTCTTCCAATTTGCTTTACTGTGCTTTGCAGATGTTGCATTTTTTACAAACTGAAGGTAAGACTCTCCACCAGCAAAAAGATTGTAACTCGCTGAAGGCTCAGATGATGTCAGCATGTTTAACGCTGAAGTATTTTTAATTGAGGTATGCATGCTTTTTAGACATATGCTGTTACACACTTGGACTGCAGCACAGTGCACACATACTTCCCATGCACTAGGACACCAGGAAGGTCGCATGGCTCGCTGCATTGCCATGTGCACGTGACTGGGTGGTCTGGGCTGGTCCTGCAGCATCTCCGAGGCGTGGCTGTCCTTCTCTCCTCTGGGACCTTGTTCCACAGGCTCATGGGGCTCTTTTCCCCCATCTCTTTTCTTTTCATTGAATAGATTTGATTATTTCTATTGATCTAATTTCAAGATCACTGACTCTTTTTTCGGGTTCTACAAGTGAGTCTATTCGGTAAGTTTTCAATGTCAAATATTGTATTTTTCCTATTCTGTGTCCACTTTTTCTTTTTATACCTTCTACTCTTTTGCTGAGAATTCCTGTTTTTCCATTATTTAAAGGGTGTCCAACTTCTAGTTGATGCATTTTTATGGCGGCTGTTTAGAATTCTTGTCAGATCATTCCAGCATCTATGTCATTCTGATGTTGGTGTCTTTAACCATCTTTTCTCATTCGAGTTGAGATTTTCCTGGTTCTTGGTGTGGAGAGGAATTCTGTAATGTCATGTATCCTGGACAGCTGAGTATTATGTATGACTCTGAATTCCACTTACTTACTGTTTCAGTAGGCAGCCAACCCATTTAGATTCAGAGACTTTGCACTACTGTTGTGGTCTACCCTGCTGTGTGCTACACGCCGGCCAACCTAAAGCCTGGGCAGCATTCCACACCACAGGTGGGTTCTCAGACTCCGGCCATGCTGATCCTGGCTGGCTGCAGCACAGGCTGCTCAGGAGTGTGCGCAGGACGTCAGGCCGGTCTTAAAGGTCCCTTTCTCCAGCTCCCTCCTCTCGGCAATCCTCCCTCAGCGCTCTGGGGTGGAAGTGGGATGCTGCCCCTTTACCGTCCTCTACTGTAGGGGGGGCATCTCCTACCTCAACATGGGAAGTGTCCAGGGGGAGGGAGCAATTTCTTCCCTCTGGAGCACGGCAGGCAGACTTGGAGGGCTCCACCCTACGGGATCACCTGTCGCAGACCCTTTGGCTGGAGAGACGTGTTGTGAGTGGGTTTTCTCACTTCCTCCTCCTCTCTCTCGCTCTCTCTCTCTCTCTCTCTCTCTCTGGTTTGGTCTGCAGCTGCATACTGCTCTAGCTCCCAGGTAAGGACGCGTAGGTGTGGGGAAAACAAACTGCACTGCTGAGTCGTGCTGAGTCATGAGGTCCTTAGCCAGTGAGCTTGGTTTTCCACCTTCCGGAGTTTCCTGACAGCTGCCTGGTGCTCAGTTGTAATTAGCAGGAGGAAGAGGGTGGAATAGACTTGGTCCATCTTTTCCAGAATCATCTATGATACTTTTTAAAGTATCATAGAAGGTGGACCATTCTAGAAACGACAGAGTATACAGTCAGCAGACGTCTAAAGGGAAGAGGCAGGTCTATTCAAAAGATGCTGAAGGTTAGTTACTCAGGGTGCAGGCTGCAGCCTTCGTCCCAGGAAATGCTCGCTCACTGTCCCCCAGGGTCCCCCACTTTCCAAAGCTGCCCCCTACAGTTGCGTGAGGGCGGGGCTCTCACCTCAGGTCCCTCCCAGGAAGGCAGTGTGCACTGGAGACGTGCTGGGCTTTCGAAGCAGGTGGCTTTGGTGGTAATTCTGCCTCTGCAGCTTATTCCTGGGTGACTCTGGGCTGTGTCTCTATCTCTGAGACTGAGTTCCCCTGAATAACAGGGACAGCAATACAGACTCCAGCGTTTTGTGCAGCCTCCACACTAGCACCTGGTCCACACCACCTGGATTGGACAGCCTCCCCGCTTCCACTCCTGATCCTCTTCATCCTTTTCTCCACGCAATGAAAATTTCAAAATGAAAACCACAGCATTTCACTCCTCCAACCAATTGCTTCCCCAAATCCTTACAACGGACCTGTAGGCCCTCCCTGGTCTGGCCCTGGCTATCCCGTCAACCTCATCTCCCGCTAACCTCACTCCAGCCACTCTGCTGTTCCTCACACAGCAGGCATGCTCCTGGCCCAGGACCTCTGCCGTGCTGCTGCACAGAAGGACCTTTCCCCCGGGGAGGGGACGGGACTGCATCATGTGGTGCTGAGTGAAAAGACACGCTGCCTGGGTCTGAGCCCCGAGTCTGCCACGTGCTAGGTATGTGACCTTTGGCAAATCGCTTTTTCTATGCTTTGGTTTCAACATGTATAAAATCATCGTAAGAATAGTATCTAGCAGCCCTGGCAGGGTAGCTCAGTTGGTTAGAGCAGTGGTCGGCAAACTGCAGCTCGCGAGCCACATGCGGCTCTTTGGCCCCTTGAGTGTGGCTCTTCCATAAAATACTGACTTCTGCGCATGGGCCATGAAGTTTCAATCGCACTGTATGTGCGCGCCCGCAAGTGGTATTTTGTGGAAGAGCCACACTCAAGGGGCCAAAGAGCTGCATGTGGCTCGCAAGCCGCAGTTTGCCAACCACTGGGTTAGAGCATTGTCCTGATACACCAAGTTTTGAGTTCTATCCCGATCAGGGCACATACAAGAGTCAACCAATGAATGCATAAATACTAGTAAGTGGACAACAAATCGATGTTTCTTTCTCTCTCCCTTCTTCTCGCTCTCTAAAAATCAATAAAAAAAATAGTATCTAACTACATAATGTTGTCATTAAAACTCAGATTATATGTGTGAATTCCTTAGAAAGGTGCTTGGCACATAATTAGCACTGAGTGTGATAGAAATATAATTTTCATATTACATTTCTAAGTATAAATATTATAAAATCGTGTATTTTACTCCCCTTTCCTTCAGGCTGTGCTCAATGTCAGCAAGCCCTCCCCTAGCTTGTCTACCTCCGCCTGCTTCTTTTGGCATCAGCACTCCCGACATTAGGCACCTGCCTGCTCGCTGCCTGACTGCCTGCAGGAAAGCTCCTCGGGACAGAGCCATTGCCTGTTCTGCTCACCTCTGTCCTCAGCTCCTGGAACAGGCTCCCCGAGGAAGGTGCTGTTACATATTGTCACACCGCTGGGGGAATGAATGGATACAAATACTTTCCTAAGAGCAGCTGTGAGAAGGCATGAGATAGTCAATGTTAAATGCTAACACAGTACCTGGCATACATAAGGTACTGTTAGATCTTTTCCAACCAACGTTAGCTAGTTCTTCCTTCATATCGTACTTCTGAAGGCTACGAGGAGAAAGCTGAGCCATATGATGCTGATCGGGCCCTAAAGGGAGAAGGTGGGGGCCCTTCAGCAACCCACATTGTAGTAGGAGCCTTTGGAGGCAAAAGGATCTGGCATGAACACCCTAAGCTTGAAGAAGGAATTATGCCGGGAGTGTTCAGGGTATGTGGGGGGGGGGGGCACTGAGGCAGAACCACTGAGAAGGTGCTGGAGGGGGGCCTGCATGACCCAGGCCAAGTTATGCTCTGATGGAAAGCTTCATAGGCTACCTTCCCCCACAGCCCCATGGCTGCGACCTCAGAGGACTAGGAACTGTCCCCTCCTCACTTCACTGCACGGAAACACAGGCTCAGAGCGGCAAAACCACTGCAGACAAGAGAGACAGGACCCAGCGCTCAAACCTTCCTACATATTCCAGTTTTCCGCCTCTGCCACGTGACCTACTCAGGGTGTAAACTGCTCAGAAGCAAGATACTGTCACGCTCAAACACAAGCTCGTGTGTCGGCAATCATGTGTAACCGCTCCTCACATTTACTCTGTCACCTGTCTTGTCTCACACTTTTCAAACAGGCACTTTCAAGATACAGCAATGGGACATGGGCAGACAGGACTTCCTGGAATCTGCTCCTGGTCTGGGGCTCTTTGTGACGGTTACAACTTACAACGAGGAGGTAAAACATTCTTTACATTTTGTTACTAAAATGTTTCCGTCGCTAAAGTTCACAAGGCACGTATCCCCACAACGTTTGCAATCTCTGGGTGAGCACTCACTAAGCAGCACTTACACTTCTCACGCTCCGTCAGGCACTGCAGACAGAGAAGGTGCCTGCTCTCGTGAGCCTCGTCTAGGCAACGCCCGGGCAGAGAGAGTTTAGAAACAACACAAACTGAGTTTGGCTGGGCTTGCTGGGCAGAGGGCACCCACAGGGTCAAGGCGTCCCAATGCTTCTGCAGGGGCCAGGCTTCGTCTGCTCTGCGTGGCCACATACCACACCCTCCCCCGTGAGGGCCAGACAGGACACCTCCCCCTCGGGTCCTGGCAGGGCTCCCTGGGTCTGCCTGGTCTCCCTGGGAGTTAGCGAAGGAGCAAGACAGGCATCTTGATCAAGGGGACAGAACATGGGTTTTGGAATCAGAGCCAAGTTACAGTGTAGACTGCCTCTAAGCTGAATCCTGAGCAGGATACTTGCCTGCTTTGATCCTCCACTTTCCCGTCTGCACAATGGATATAACGGGTGTCCACTCCTGACCATGCAGCTCAAGGTGCTCTGACCTGCTCAGCCAGTAACTCAAACACAGCTGCGGGCATTACTTCCATCTGGACTGGAGTCGTCCTGCGCGGTGCTCATGGGGTGCAGGGTGGCGGTGCAGCACTGCCTTGTAGAACGGGCACCTCCTCTCCCGGAGAGGCACTTGGTGTAGGCAGGACAATGTTCCTATTCTCCTGAAAACTAGGTGACACCTGGGCCTGAGCTGAGGGCAGACATAGGACACCCCTCTCATGGGGAGGCTGGAGCTGGGTCACTGGAGACTCCATTCCAACTGGATACTGGACACTTGGTACTTGCCTGTGGTAGCGTTCTTCTCCTGGTGCACTTGGCACCTCCCTCATAACAGTTCCACTGGGACCTTTCCCACCTCCAGTCACCTGTCCTCCCTGCACCCCACCCCCGTGTCCCTTGTCCGGGGATACCAGCGTCCAGGTCTCTTGCTCTTTCCCAGTAGTCCTTTAGGAGCAATCTGGAACTGTCTCCAAGGTTTATTAAAACCAGAACCCAAACCCTAGTTGGGCTAAAAACTGTCACAGAAAAATCTGTTTACTGTTATTAAGACAGAGAAGGTCTGTTCTTCAAAAGCACAATTGCCTAAGAGAGGAGATATATTTCTGTTCATTCTGCAAACATCCAACAAATTTTACCATGGGCTAATATATGCTCAGCCCTCTTCTTGGCCTAGGAGAGACAAAACTCTCACCTTCAGGCCTTATTTTCAGGAAAGCCCTTCCGTTTGGAATATGATAAGAAATGGCATGCCCTACCAGTTTGGCTCAGTGGATAGAACATCATCGGCCTGCAGACTGAAAGGTCCCAGGTTCGATTCCGATCAAGGGCACATGTCCGGGTTGTGGGCTTGATCCCCAGGGTAGGGCGTGCAGGAGGCAGCCAATCAATGCTTCTCTCTCATCATTGATGTTTCTATCTCTCTTTCTCTCTCCCTTCCTCTCTGAAATCAATAAAAATATATTTCGTACAAGATCAGATCCCCATTTACTAGTAAGATACCTGTCAGCACCCCCACAAGGACACTGAGGGCTTGGGGTCCTCTTAAGTTGGCCCCAATCATGCGTCCATTCCTATGCATGTGACTGACAGCCCAACAGAACAGCATGCGCACGCAGGGCAGCCCACATCAACGATGCACATGTACCACACAAACATGTCTTCTGTGCTCCATTTCCCACTACTCCATGTCCAATACTCCCATTCCATTTTGTAGAAGAAAACCTGTTGTTCTGAGAGGCTACGTGACAGACAAGAGCTCACCATCAGCAAGTGGCAACAATGATATTTAAACTCATATGTGTGTTTTTCCAATACACCGATCAGCAGGCATTCAGAGGGTGTGCTGACTTGACTATCCACTGGGAGTAGACGATACAGAGCCTGGACATGAAACTAAAGCTCAGACACTGACTGTGATAACCAGCAGTCACAATGCTTTTTCAGAGCAGAGTTCTCTGTTATGCACTTAAAATCAGAAATCAATGATAAAATCAGACCTTTGAATGCAGTCTTATTTAATAAAATTTCCCAATCAAGCCTGGCTGGTGTGGCGTAATGGACTGAGCGTTGTCCCATGCAAAGGTCACCAGTTTGATTCCCAGTCAGGGCACATTCTAGGATTGGGGGGTTGATCCCCAGTCGGGGTGTGCAGGAGGCAGCTGCTCTCATTGATGTTTTTTAAAAAAATATTTTAAAAATATTTTTTTATTGCCCTAACTGGTTTGGCTCAGTGGATAGAGCGTTGGCCTGTGGACTGAAAGGTCCCAGGTTCGATTCCGGTCAAGGGCATGTACCTTGGTTGCGGGCACATCCCCAGTAGGAGGTGTGCAGGAGGCAGCTGATCAGTGTTTCTCTCTCATCGATGTTTCTAACGCTCTATCCCTCTCCCTTCCTCTCTGTAAAATATCAATAAAATATGTTTTTTTTAATATTTTTTATTGATTTCAGAGAGGGAGGGAGAGGGAGAAAGAGACAGAAACATCAATGATGAGAGAGAATCATTGATCGGCTGCCTCTTGCATGCCCCACACTGGGGATTGAGCCCACAACCCATGCATGTGCCCTGACTGGGAATCGAACCCTGACCTCCTGGTTCATATGTCAATGTTCAACCGCTGAGCCACACCAGCCAGGCTTCATATATTTTTATCGATTTCAGAAAGGGAGATGGAGAGACAGAAACATCAATGATGAGAGAGAATCATCAGTTACACTTTCTTATAAACATTTTTTTTAGTGGTTGCCCTAGTGTTTGCTATATATATATATATGTAACTAGTCCAAGTCCACTTTCAAACAACGTCCTACCACTTCACAAGTACAGCACGTGCCTTATAATCACTAGGTATCCCCAAGTCTTCCTTCCCTTGCATCACTGCTGCCATTCACGTCACTGATACATAAACTATAATCATTACTGCTGTTATTTTGAACAGACTGTTATGTGTTAGATCAGTAAAGAAAAATTAAATCTTAAAGTTTACTTTCACTTATTCCTCCTCTAATGCTCTTCTGTTCTTTATGTAGATCCAAGTTTCTGACCTATATTGTTTTCTTTTTCTCCAAAGAACTTCTTTAACATCTCTTGCCTGGCAAGTCTATCAGTGACAATTCCCCTCAATTTTTGTTTGTCTGAGGAAATCTTTATTTCTCCTTCACTTTTGAAGGAGAATTTTGCAGGATACAGAATTCCATATTGGCACGATTTTTTCTCTCTCTCTCAACACTGTTCCACTCCCCTCTCTACTTACTTGATGGTTGCTGAGGGGTTTTCCCCTCTGGTTTCTTTCATGATTGTATCTTT